TTAGGACCGAAAACTGGTTGGACTGGTCCAAAAGACCGGTCCGGACCATGGTCCTTGTAGGACCGTAACATCCCTACAGATGAATTTGGGGTTTCGACTTTCGTCAGAGGTTTCGTCTTCCGTCGTCATGCGAAAAATGTTTCGTCTAACAACTATAGGCCTATCAGAGTAATATATTACTATATGTAAATTTTTATTCACATCATTTTTAATTCGTGTACCAAAGTTAATTTAAGAGTATTTTTTCAAGATTTTATATGAAATGGTCTGATTCCTTTTAGGAGTTAGTATTACTCACGAAATAAGTGGATGCATGTCATGCTTGGCAGGTGTCTACGTGGTATAGGCATAAACATTTATCTATTCCAAGTCCAACACATCCAACATCGACACTTCAAATCCTAATGAAAATTCTTAAAAATCTTTTAATTTTACATTACAAAAAGAATTTATTCAACTTTGAACTAAAATTTTAACATCTTCAGTATATAAAAAAGGTTCATTAATTTTTTAAAAAAAATAAGATTTGAACCTACTATATAATCTATATTTAAATTATTCTAATAAATTTGAAGAATAAGGAGAATTGATTGATCTTGTTTTTAATTAATGAAAACTATAAATGCAATATATAACATTATTTTTTTAAAATTCACATTAATAACGGAAAAAAGAATAATTACATTAAAATAAATTTATTTCTAAACCATCATCAAAGGTGCCAAGTAAACCTTTAATTCTCCTCAAACGAATAATATCGGATTAATCCAATATATTTTCTATCTTAGTATTTAAGATCCATAAATAGACTTTTTTTTTTTTTTTTAGAAACGACAATTCATTTCCATAACTTCATACTCAAAAATCCGGCTACAATAGCCATACAGCCTCCACATCTTAGCACAAATCCGATAGAATCAACACCAGCATTAACATCTGCATGTGCTTGTGTGTTCAATGCATCATTTGCAGTCTCATTACCATTTCCAAGATTGTTGCTAGTTTGATGCTCTAATAAAGCGAAAGCTATACTACTAAAAAATGTAGCAATAAATTGTGGTACGACAATATATATATTATGAATCCCTAATAATATTCCGGCATCAGATCCATTATTAGATTGATCATTATGCATAGATCTACCTCTTCGAATTGAGCCATCATCACATTGATTATTATTTAAAAATTGCATATCTTCCATGTTATGATCATCTGCAACAGAGACTTCACGCATATTTTCTAATTCTTCATATTCTACATCGTCATCATCAGTTCTATGTACAGAACCAATTAGGTCTAATCTTGTTAAAGAAACATTCCTTGAAGTAGTAAAAGCAGTGTTATTATTACTACCACCAACTTTAGTTCGTTTTGAAGCAAATTCACCGATAATTGAAAAAGGAGCCCACATAGCAACAGCCCAAGATATACCACATAAACCAATTACTAAATCAGCTAGAAACATATTTGAAACAGTCCAAGTAGCCAACATTGTGAAAGCAAATATAAAATGGGATAATGTCCATAATTTTGGTAAAGTTAAAAATACCAAAGGTAATCTCAAAAATTGTTTCCAAGCAAATTTTGAAGGAGTTGAGACAGAAGAAGTTACTAGAAAAGGTAGTATAAATGATGCAGCCATACTTACTATGGAAAACAATAATAAAGTATATGAACCAGCTCTTTTAGCTTCCTCCTCGCTTGACCCTGGTTGCGTTGTACGTTTATGAATTTCAGCTACCCATGATGTTGTATAAAATAAGAATGGGAACCAACCCATCCAAGCGAATAATTGAACATTGCATAATAGTTGAATTTTTTTTGGAAGAGAATTAAATGATTTTGCAATTGAATAAATTACTTCTTGAATAGATTTCCATATTGGTATCGGTGAACTATTAATTTTCAATTGCACATAAAAAATTATAATTATTATAATTATTTATAGTTATTATTATGAATAACTTAAAAATTTTTAATATTAAACATAGATTAAATTGTAATTTGAAGTGCACCTTGAACTGCTTTTATATACTTTTTCAGGGATGGCCCAACATGTTAATGCATCAGAAGCGAGTAGTATTATACTTGCAAGAACACAAAGCACTTGCAATTGATTTCTACCCAAGAAAGGAAAGACTTTGACCAAATCAATATATCCCCTAAAAAAAGGTAACAAGCAAGCACATTAAAAATTGATAAATTATATAATTAAATAAAATATTTTTATCGATTACATACATAAAATAACCTATAACACTTCCTACCCCTACCATTTTACCGGCCCATGCCGTACCTTCTTCTTGTTGTGAAGGTGGTAAGGAATCAACGATTAAAGCTCGACAACCTGCCATTACTGATTGATAATATTAGTTGTAAATGTAAAAATGATACAATGAACAAATTTGAATGTATATTTATAGATAATTAATTAAACATACCGGCATTAATAGCAAAATCAAGAACGTAAAGGGAGAAAACGGCCAACCACCTAGCAATAAAGTTAACCTATATGAAAAAAAAACGAAATTATCAATTCAACTAAATTTTTTTCATGGTTTACAAGAATATTTATATAATATACCATTATTTCATCACTGAAAAATAAGTTTACAATCTCTTTTGTCCAACCAATAGATATGAAAGCAAACACAACAGCAATACTACCAACAACAATATAAGGCCTCCGGCGACCAAATTTTGAAGTAGAATTGTCTGAAAGTGCGCCAACTACAGGTTGTACAAGAAGGCCTTTTAAATGGCAGATAAATTAAACTAGATGTAGAAAATAACTCGAAACATTAAAAATACATTAAAAATTGGAAGGAATAAAAGCATACCTGCCAATGGACCTGCAAGCCATACAAGAGACATAAGAGATTTTGATAACCCCAGCTCAAGCAAATATGGCGTTCCTTTAAATACAAGGAGATAAAATGCAAGAAGATAAAATACAAGGAGATAAAATACAAAGGATGAAATAAAAGGAAATAGGATACAAGACGATAAATATGAGTTAATAATACACCTTAATTAATGAGAATGTAAATTGTCACAAAAAAATTATAAACAGAATCAGAAACGGATGAAATACCATAAGCTAATTCCACGGACCCTTAAAACAACAAGTGTAATAATATATGCTTAGAGAAAAATAAATAAAGACGCGACAGATATCAAACAACATGCAAAGTTTACCTACAAGTAAATTGCACACTTTTTTAAAAAAAAGAATAATACAAATAGTTTATTAGATTATTAGAAAAGTAAAAAATAAAAACATAAAATCAATAGTGAAAATAATTCAACACACGCAGCAATGCTTTGAGTCAATAAAATCATTTTAATCGTTTTACTTCTGCCATGGGAGATTCTTAAATCACCATTTGACTGATGATATGAATGATTTGGTAAGAGTTCGCTACTAGTTACGTCAATGTTGCTACTATTATTTACTACATTTGATAGATTTAACTCGAGAGTTTCATCTTCTTGACCTATTATTCTTGACGAAATACCTACAGTTGATGATGATGATGAACGTGGAGATAATTCTTTCATTTTATATCAGATAAATCAAATAAATCAAATTGAAAATTTATAACCGGGAAAATTATAGTTTAACGCAGTTGTGCAGCCTTTTATAGAATAACGTGGCAGTAATGGTGATACGTAATAATGATATAACGAGTTGCAGTAAATCCTTCACAATGTAAGGAATGTAAGGTGTGACAATATAAAAACTATATATACATTTCGATATCGTTATCTAGTTTTTGTTTGACAAATTTAGAAATAGAAAACTTTAATCAACTTATTAACTGCAGATAATATTTATCATACGTAGTCGTTTTCTTTTTTTACTTCTCTAGATATAACGATAATCCAAACCAAATAATCTAGCGTATAGACAATAAGGTATAAAAGAATAGTCCCTAAATATGATAGTGTTATTATTCAAGATGAAACAACGAAACACTTCTAAAAAAATAAATAATTTAAATGTAAGTTATATTTTTATATATATATATTTGTAGTGATAAAGTTTATGAATTACCAAAAAAGAACAATGGAGAGGTAAATTTTGCCATTATCGTTATTAATACAATTATCACAACCAAGAAATTTAGGGCTAAAATTTTCTGATTCGTTTAATTTAGCCAGCACTAAGATAATCTTTGCCCATGATCAGCATGATCCGGCCCGACACTATGGAAAAATTTTTTATTCGGCTAATGGTTCCATCCTCAAGAAAGATGACATAAAAATATTAAAAAGCAATTTATTTTCTTTTTTCATTTGTATTCTTAAAAATTTATCCACGAGTTTATAAGATCGCCCCCAGAAATTTATAGTAAAAAAAGTTCACCAATTATTGTCATCAATATTCCTTTAAAAGTATGTTAAAATTTTCAATTAGAGTTTTTATATCTATGCATTGCGTAGATTCACGTACGGTACAGGAAATCCAAAAAATCACAATCACTCTTCGTGGAAACAAAGTGTAAATATTGAAATTAGCGCCAATAAAGTGCGTACGTAAGAAGTCGACCTCTATAGGGTTAATGTAACATATAATTAAAATGTTTATACTCAATGTTTACATTTTGGCTCTATAAGGAGTAATTAGATTTATTGCACTGTACAGTACGTATGTACATGCGTTCGTACGTATCAGGTGCGTATGAGCAAACTAAATCTATATGCTTGTGTTTGTATTACCATACTACTTTAACTACCATACCACATACGAATGTGTTCAGAATCAATATACGTCAGATAAGGGTAATTAGGGTTATGGTGATTAGAGATTTCAATTACGTCACGAGCCTCTAATTCTAGATCACGGAGTTGGTTCAGAGTTTTTATCGGGAAGGTAATTATCAGAACGAAGTGCTAGTAAGTGTTAGAACTATATTCTGCCGCTTACAAGCTCTTACCTGAGTCAGAAAATACCGACCCAGGCGCGTCAGGTATTGACTTGGGTTATAACCGGGTCAACGGTCAAACTGAAATTCATAGTTTTTGAAGTTAATCCTTAAAAGTTAATGTAACGACTTTTAATTAGAATTGTTAGTAGGGTTCCAATCCGGATAAATCCATCATCCATTTATCCGTATATAATTATCTGACAGGTATTCGGATAATTATCTAGTAAATGGATATCCGAATAAATTCATATCCGGATATCTAATAGTTATCCGGATAAATGCTTAATGAATTGGAATTCTAGTTGTTAGTATAGAGAACAGCCTGTATTCCAAATATTTAACCGGAGTTTTCGGATTTGTATTAAAAAAATTTTTCGATCTTGCTCGTTCGTTCATTTTCTACTTCAGGAAATATGTGACCCTTCAAGAAGCTGATCCGCACGGGTCAGACGACCCGGGTAAAATAATGTCTTTCGTAATATAGGTATTTTAGTAGGTTTTAAATTCTGACCCGGGTTAGAACTAGAGATGTATCTCGCGCGAAATACTAAATTATTTATATCATCTCGCGCGAAATGCTTATGTCATAGTAGATTATTTATATTATCTCGCGCGAGAATTAATAGAATGGCATCAGCATTTCAACCCCGGGTAATAACTCTACACTAATTTGTGTTATATTTATTACCAAATTCAAGCATTTGGTCCTCAAAATTAAATTTTAGTTGCCAAATTATATACAGGTAAACCTCTCTATAATCACACACTTGGGATACAAAACAGTGTGATTATAAAGAAGTGTGACAATTATAGAGGTCAAATTTATTATATTTAATACAATACAGTTAGACCTCAATATAATCACAAGGTTGGGAAACAATTTTTTGGTGATTATAAAAGTTGTGACTATATAAAGATCAAAATATATATGTTTTGTAATAGCTAGGCCAAGGTTGTAACTATATTAAGAGTGACTATAATGAGGTCTAACTGTATATATAGATTGTTTTTGGAAATTTTTATTTGCACCATGTGTATATAGATCACCTCAATTTTATCATATAATTATTTAAAAAAATTTTCAAATTTGAAGATATCTTGGCAACCAATTAATCAAATCTGATAGAATTTTTTTATTTGAATTCTACAGAACTATAGAATTTGAATAAAATATTTTATCAAATTTGATTGATTGGTTGTTAAGATATCTTTGATCAAAGCTTTGTAAACAATTTTAACATAGTTTTTATATAATATATGTTTTAACAACTTTTTTCAAACTTTGATCAAAGATATCTTGGCAGCTAATTAATCAAATTTGATGAAGTTTTTTTATTCAAATTCTATGAAACTATGAATTCAAATAAAAACTTTTTTATCAAATTTGGTCAATTAGTTAATGATATATTTTTGATTAAAATTTTATAAACAATTTTAATACAGTTTTTATATAATATTTATTTTAAAAGCTTTTTTAAAAATATAATATCTTAGTGAAGTGGTTTAGCTGTTATTTACCAAGTAGCAGATCTAGAGTTCAAATTTTATAGATAATAATTTTAAAAAACTAACTTGTAAAATAGTTAATAATTATCTAATAATTAGTTAAATTTAGAATTTATACTTTTGGTAACACTATTTAAAATAAGAAAAAACTAAAGAGCTATAGGCTACATATTTATATATTATAAAAAAATAATTAGTTAGCATAAATTTAAAATAAGATATTGACTGTATAAATTCAAAAAACTAAGATAAGGCCACACAAACTAATAAAATTGGTTCTCATAACCTGGCCAGGTTACTTTTTTTGAAAAGTTAAAAATTTTTGTTATAATAAAATTTTTTTTGAAAAAAAAATTTATAAAAATTTATAAAAATTTTTAAATATAACATTTTTTGCTGGCTAGCTGGATCCTATTTGCTTGTCCCATGTTATGAGAATCAACTAATTTAATTTGCATAGCCTAACTAAAAATTTATTTAAAAAGATCTAAGTAAGAAGGTAGCAAAGATCTTTAGCAGTATTATAGAAAAACCAAATTTAGAACTAAGAACTAAAATTAGAGAACTAAGTGATAATAGATTCTTAAATGGAGAGATTTACTAACTAGACTATTAGTTTAAAATATACTAGAAAAAAAGAATTGTTACAATGCTACAGCCTTCTTGAAGCATATACTTATTTCTGCAAATAACACAAACCCAAAAAAAGAAAATTTCTACATAATATAATCAGGTGTAACCTTTGCGTAATGTGAAATCGAAAGCTTTTTTGAAAAATTACTAGTAGCGCAAAATTTTGCTTATGAAATTGCTTTTTATACTCTAATTAAAAAAATTTCTTGCTAAATTTTACTATATAATATGCCTTCTCTCAGCTCTAACTCTAACCCTAATGCCAGCCTAATTTCATGAGTTATTAGCAATAATAACAACAAATAAATATTTATTATTGTCACATGATTTGTATCACTTGCAAAAATAAGTAAATCCCTTCTTGAACACTATGTAGCAAGATAACAAAGTTATTTGGTGTAGGAACTTTACTATTGGGGTGTATACAAGATAAAAGTAGAGTGTGTTCTAACTTCCACTAGCAGGAGGCAACAGTTTATCATAGAGGTAGTATATAAGTTAATACTTTATTTATTATAGGTCAAGGAGAATAACCTTATCTACTAGAATTACTCTAGAGAGAGTATATCATATTATACAAAATAAAAAGTATAAGAAGATAAGGTTAGATTTTATGAGAGAGTAGGGAATTTTCTAACTGACTCTAACTTGAGTAGAAAAGGCAAAGACTCTCTTTTTATAACTTTTTCACATATAAGAGGTGTAACAGCATAATTGCCAAACTATGTAGAGGTACTAAGAGGTATTTATGTAAAGGTACTAAGAGGTATCCATGTGGAGGTACTTATATAGAAATACTAAGAGGTACTAATGTGGAGGTACTAAGAGATACTTATGTAAAGATACTAAAAAGTACTTGTGTAACCTAGCTACAGCACTACTGTGCCTTATCTAACTAGCCAATAGAATCTCTATAACTAATATAATAAATATCGATATATATAAAATAAGTATAGCAGAAACTTGTATTTTTACAGAAAATTATGAGTTATAAAATTTATATAATTGGCTAATTGATGTAGATCCAAATGTGATGGTTAATCAATCAAATCAATTAAAAACTTTTTTAATATGTGAAATATATGGAAGATAGATTTATTATTAATAATAAAAGCAAAATATTTTTTAATATTAAAGTAATTTTATTCTATTAAATTTTACTGAAAATATGCATATTATATCTAACATGTTATTACACTATAATTTTTATTACTGTAATTAAATTGCACTATATATTTATTATACTACAAAATAATTTTGATATAATATGTATATATGGCTTAGTTTGAGTAAAATAAATCATTAAAATATCTATATTGCTTAGCTTGTTTAATAAATGTAGCAGATTAAAATGAAATCAGATTAAAATAAAATTTTTCTATTTTTTTAAAAAAATTTAAAATTTTTTGGAAACATTTTTTAGGGTTAGAGTTAGTGTTAGAGTTAGGGTTTAGAGTTAGTTTTATTAATAAAAGAATATAAGTAAGTTTT